CAGTCTCAAATATAGGGCCTTTAGACTTGGGCATCATACCTGAAATGGAAAATCTTTGTGTATTCTTAAATATTTTGTGTATCAATACAGGGCAAAAAACTAGTATGAACCTGTACTGAAATATCTCTTGATATTTGTCCTTCATGTCATAAAAAAAATATTGTTTATTCAAAAGTTATTGCTATTCTAGTTTCCCATACTCCCAATGTTTTATGCATCCGAGGGTGCATAAAACATTGCTGACTTTTCAGACAAAAACTGAATAGCTCCATTACTGCCGGGTTTCAGCATGTACACCCTCACTAAAAAGGTGTCCCAGGAGACCCCTAAGAAAATCATGTGAGTGATTTAGGGGCCCCCTCGACCCCCAAAATACCCCTTGGCTGCTGTACTAATAACCCGCTTCCGTGTTGAACTCTTTTTGTGACGTGGAGTTGAGTTCGTACTGTACAGAATCAACCTCTTTGTTCATCTTGCACTTCATTTGCACACGATAGATCCGTAAGTGATAGGCCTATTTCATTTCCATTTGAGTATTCCATCCAAATGATTAACTGTATATCAATGTTTGTAACTGGCCTCTACAGAGCTTTACTTCAGAGAAAACACGACTGCCAACTACCTGTGACGAAGCTAGAACGTAAGGATTCCCTACTTGCCCTGAGCACCGCCGAATAGGTAGCTTGCTATCCGCCTTATTTCCACCGCTATAACACGTCTGGTCACAAATATCGTAATGTTTTGATTGCGCGTATGCAATCCTGGCCTTATGCACATTCACTGATTCACTCAAATCCGACATATTCGTCGATAACCTTCAAAATGTCCAAAATACGGGAGCCATCACACGGTGTTTACAGTACTGATGGCGCCGCCTCATATGAGAGAGAGAGAGAGAGAGAGAGAGAGAGAGAGAGAGAGAGAGAGAGAGAGAGAGAGAGAGAGAGAGGGGGGGGGGGGAATTAGAGAAAGAAAGTTTACACGGTCCCAGGTAACCCCCTGTCCCTCCCCAGAGCCGGCCTCGGCCCTGCAGAGCGGCTTCATTCTGTCGCGCAGGTTCAGCGCCCACCTGCTCAACGCCTACGTTCCTTCGGGTCTGTTCGTGGTCGTGGCCTGGGCGTCGTTCTTCTGGCCGCCCGAGGTCGTTCCGGGTCGCACGGTGCTGGTCGTCACGTCGCTGCTCACCGTCGTGTCCATGTACACCGGCGTCAGGTAACGGAAGCCCAGCACAGGGCGCGGGTTCAGTCTGGCGGAGAAGGCATGCCGCGTTGGCCACTGAGACTGATCGCCTTTGAGAATGGCGTGTGACATCTCATGCTGTGGCTGTGATTCGTTTCCTTTTTCTCTTAAGAATGTAATGTAATCAATGGTTGTAGCTGGAAGAGAGAGAAGGGGTGAGCGAGAGCGCCCGATTCTATCCCAGCCTCTTATCCCCAGGGCCACCAGCCCACACACGGACTACTTGAAGGCGATCGACATCTGGTTCTTCATGTGCATCCTCTTCAACGTGCTCGTCTTGCTTCAGTTCGGAACGGTGATCACGTAAGCTTATGGCGATATTACGCTCACTGGGTGGTCAGCCGGTCCCAAGCCTGGGTGAATGGGGAGGGTTGGCAGCAGGAAGGGCATCCGACCATCAGGAAGTCTTGACAGATAGGTCATGAGGTGGAAAAAGGAGACCTTTACTGACGTCCATACTTGGTAGAAAAAAAGGACAAGTACAGAACCGTTTGCATATAGATTAGATATATAATATGTTACAGAGATATAGTATTCGTATAACAGTAGGGGAAATATCATAGTATTCATATAACAAAAGGGGAAATATCAAAGAAAATAGTGTTTCCTGTGCTATTGCAATTATGATTCGTTTCTAGAGGTGCGTCGTCTCTCCATAACCATGTTGTTTGACCTTCCAGCGAAGAATAACTCACTTGAGAAGTCCCACGACTGCAAATGCCTTTGTTTCTCCCTCTCCAGCCTCAGGCGGTGCCAGGAGAAGGCGAAGAGCGCCGTCGTCGCGCCTGCTCCCAAGGTAATGGCTTTGCTGTCCGACGTCGCTCCGGTAAGTAGGGCGAGGGCACGCCCAATGCATTCCCCATGAGTGCTGCCTGCAAAGCACGGAAGTGAGGGCGTAGTCCAGCTCATGGGCACGGTCACGAAAATATGAGGGTATACACAAACATCGACTCATCCATTAATTTTGACTGTGAAAGTTCAGAAATGGTTAAGTTAAAACGTACTTTTGTATGGTGCACGCGTCCACACCCTTGTTGGTAAAGGGCGTGCTCAGTCTTTGCATGTATGTATGTATATATATATATATATATATATATAATATATATATATATATATGTGTGTGTGTGTGTGTGTGTGTGTGTGTGTGTGTGTGTGTGTGTGTGTGTGTGTGTGTGTGTGTGTGTGTGTGTGTGTGTGTGTGTGTGTGTGTGTGTGTGTGTGTGTGTGTGTGTGAGAGAGAGAGAGAGAGAGAGAGAGAAAGAGAGAAATGAATAGACAGGTGGTTATAGTAGCACCTAACCCGGGTTCCTCCCCAGGGCGGCGCCCCTCACCGCCTGACGCCCGACCTGACGCAAGTGAAGAAGCTGCAGCGCTGGGAGTACCACTTCGAGCTCGCCTCCAAGGTCCTCTTCCCCGTCGCCTTCGTCGTGTTCAACCTGGTGTACTGGGGGCGCTTCCTCTCGCACAGGGAGTGGCACTGAGGCCCTGGCCAGGCTGGCTCGCAGATGCGCGCACGCACGCGGAGGCGGGCGGGTCGCGCGCAACCTATTTGCTCAAGTACCTGCACGTTTTCAAAATGCTAACACTTTTCCTGCTTCATGAATATATATATATATATATATATATATATATATATATATATATATATATATTATATATATATTATACATACATGTATGTATGTATGTACACTCGCACGCATATATGTTTGGACGCATTGATCCTTCGCAAATAGCAGTTGAAAAGTAATAATGAACAGGTCCTGTGGTATTTATCATTACCTGTGCATAGACAGGTATCTTTTCAGCTAGTTTTACGTGTGAGCAATATGAATTGAGAACACTGATATAGGTATAGGACATTCCTAGGGTTGGATCTGGCCTTAGCGAAGTTTGGAAGCACTCTGTAAAGTGAAAATAAAGGTCTTATGAATCTTGAAACCATTATCCTTTAAAAAATTTCATGGCGGTGAAGTACATTCCAATCAACGTAGATCACAGCGCAACATGCACAACATAGAAACTACACTACACAAGGCTTATAGAATATGATATTGTTCCCTGCAGAATGATGGAAACAACATTGAGAATATTGCCAACGGCTTGAAGCGCGAACTTTCCTTGGATTCATATTTCAACTTGGGCGGACATTCCCTTCCTCTGGAATTTCTGGAAACGTGGGCGAGTGTACAATTTAATATACTAAACCTTCCCGTAAAAATGAATAACTCACAGTAACGCAATGCACAATGCCTTCTAAAGGGTCGCCAGAGTCCGGCGGCCCGACACGCGGGACGGCGCACTACGTTATTCCTCCCTCGCGGAATCGACTTGGGCCTTTCCCCAAGATGCCGTCGCACTGCAGCCAAACAGGTGCCTGCTTTTGCCATTTGAAAAAATAAGTTAAAAAAGTCCAAGCCTTTAATGAACACGTAGTTCCATCTGAAATGTCCTGAGTTTAACCTCGAGAATTAAATGTCAAAAATCTGTTGAATGGCCAGAGTCTTGCTTAAAGTTTCCAACGGTTTTTATTTTGCTCAGCTATCATCATTTGATCGACTGTGATGTTTGTGTAATAATAAAGAAAAGTGAGATACGATTATGATACTAAACCACTAATATCATCGTGTTCATTTATAAATGGTAGTTATGTATTGCTTTCTGGTAACCTACCGGTATTCGCAACATTGGAACTTTATGTAAAAAAAAAACACATTTTTAATGTTTTGCAAATGGGATCCTTGAATAAAATTGAGAATCACTGGTGTAAGCTCATTTTCATTCTGCTATTCATGATATATTTTTACACTTTACTTTGCACTGAATTCAGTACAGCGATTAGTGTTGCAGTTAATTAAATGTGTGCTGTTCGGATCAGTTTTGAGCTGTCCAGATCGCCACTTCGGTGTTGAAATGGCTAAAACGCACAGGACAACGAAACCAACCGTTTAACAGGGCACTGAAGGGTGTGACCGCCGTCCCTTATTTTCAGGTTATGTCACGTGTGTGTGTGTGTGTGTGTGTGTGTGTGTGTGTGTGTGTGTGTGTGTGTGTGTGTGTGTGTGTGTGTGTGTGTGTGTGTGTGTGTGTGTGTGTGTGTGTGTGTGTGTGTGTGTGTGTGTGTGTGTGTGTGTGTGTGTGTGTGTGTGTGTTCTTACCTAGTTGTTTGAATACGGGAAAAGAGCTATGCTCAGGTGGTTCCGTCTGCTATATTTAAATTATCGTATAACTTTTTAAATTGATGCACAGTTTTGGCGCACACTACTTGATTGGGAAGACTGTTCCACGATTCAATAATTCTGTTTGGGAAACTATATTTTTTTGGACATTTTTATCACCTCTTTTTACTGTCAACTTTTTGTTGTGTCCTCTCGTTCTTCTTGTGTTCAAGATCAAAAAGTCATCCTTATCTATCTTCACTCTTCCTGTAATGCAGTTGAAAAGCATGATCATGTCCCCCTTTTTCCTTCTTTCTTCTAAGGTAGTAAGTCCTAATTTCTGTTGTCTGTCTTCGTAACTCAGATCTCTTAGGGTAGGTGTCCATCTTGTCCCGCTCTTTGGACTCTTTCCAGTTTGTCAATATCTTTTTTTAAGTGTGGACTCCATACCACTGCACCGTACTCAAGACTTGGTATTATGATTGCTTTAATAATCTTCTTTACCATATCTTCGTCCACATACACGAATGCCCTCTTCATGTTGGCAATCAGTCCTAACATTTTGTGGGCCTTTTCATTTATATGGTCATTTGGATTTAGGTTT